TCCTCCCTGACTCGGTAGGTGCTGTGTCAGTCGGTCTAAGTACCAAGCAGCATGATAAAGTAGGCAGCACTGCAAAGGTGAGTCTCATTTCTGCAGAGTAATGTTTTACTTATCGTGCTTATGGAACATACTGCTGAGGTTAGTGCGACGGCTTCGTCCATCAGCGTTTTTATATTAAATTACTCAAACATCCATACAAAAACAGGAGAAACAGACATGGTTCATTCTTAAGGAAAAGGCCCTCCTAAAGAGAGTAGCTTCTGAAAAAGACAAAGTGGGTATTTTCCCACACGCACTCTCTCTCTTATATATATATATATATATATATATATATATATATATATATATATATATATATATATATATATAAAATAAGAGAGAGAGAGGAGATACATATATTTCTGTCATCTTTTTTTTATCATCACTCATTCTCTTGCCTTGCGGTAAGGGATTTTTAGTCGCATTAAAATGAGTCACTGAGAACTATTTACAATGTTAGGAGGCCGTGTGTGTGCACGTGCATCACGTGGGAGTACTCAGAACTTCAGTAATAGCCGCAGTGTTGAAGGTCAGACGGGGATGTCGGGCTGTTGACAATGAAGCCATTTCCCTGCAATGAGCAGGACCCTCAGAGCTGCCAGCCCCAAGACATGCGCACGCTGTTGCGTTTCCGCTGTGAAACGAGCAGCCTGTCATATAATTGTGTAAATAATTGTTAAAATGGCTGCTCTCTGTTGCTACACACGGGGCTTTCTGTTCACTGCTTGGTAAAGATTTAATCGTTTGGTGACGCGCCAGCCCAGGGAGGGAGGAGGTCGTGCCCTCTGCTCTGCTGTGAAACTGGATTCCCTCAGCTTTCCGTCTCTTGCTGGCTTGAGTGTCTTGTCCCTGCAGAGCGAGAGCCCGGGGCCGACATCTTGGAACCAGACCCCCCACTGCCCCCCTCCTCCAACCTGTCCGCCCACCACTCAGCAGGGTCGCTAGCCAGCCAGAGCTGTGGCGTCTGTTGCCGCTGCTGTTGTTCTATCCCTGTTTACGGCCCCCTTGGCCCTTGAACAGCTGTACTCATGTACAAGATACATGATATCTTTATTGTCACTGTAGAAGTACAGTGAGGTGACATTTGGATCATCCTGTAGAAACCTCAATAAAAAAAAAATCTTTTAGCTTGTAGAGTTAAGAAAAACAAAAGGATATAGCAATGTACAAATACACTGTATAAAACTGAGGAATGTTGCACATGAATTATTGCTTATGAAATAAATCATTGCACCTGAGAGAAATTGTAGTATTGCTGCAAGATGATCATGATCAACAGTATTACATGGTATAATGGGTTACATTGAACACAATTGTGGTACTTAGATGATTGTGATTCCAGCATTGTTGTACAGTAAACATGGGTGATTGTATGATGGCTAGGAGCCAAAACAGTTAAAGTGCATATTCTGCTTGTGTAGTACATGATGTGTGTAGTGTGGATAAGTCTCAGTTCAGTTCAGTGTGGTGCTGTTGTGAGAGGGGGAAGTGGGCCCAGTATGTTCAGCAGTGTGACTGCTTTGGGGTTCTGTAACGCTTGACAGACGGCAGAAGTGTGAAAAGGTTGTGTCCGCAGTGGACTGGATCACTGCAGATGTTCCTGGCTTTGCGGCTACACTGGGTTCTGAAGAGTTCCTTCAGGGTTGGAAGCTGTGAGCCAGTGATCTTCTGTTCTGATGATGCGCTGGAGGGCTTTCGTGTTCTCATAGGTGCTGCCTGGGTACCATACTGTGATGCAGTATGTGATGGACTTTATGGCGCACCTGTAGAAGCTGACCATCAGCTATTGTGGAAGTTGTTTTCTTTAGGCTTCTCAGGAAAATAATCCTCTGAAGTCCTTCTTTTGGCCATGGCTGTATTTGTTGACCAGGATAAGTCACGGCTGATTTGGACACCAAGAAATCTGAAATTCTGGACACGCTCCACCTTATAGCCACTAATGTTGACTGGATGAGGGATGGTGGTCCTTTTCTGTCCTCCTGAAGTCCAGGATCAGCTCTTTGTTTGAGGGTAAGGTTGTTATCCCGGCTCCAGCTCTCCAAGTTATCAACCACCTCTCTATAGGCTGACTGAACGTTGTTTGAGATCAGGTCTATCACAGTGGTGTAGTCTGCGAACTTGAGTAAGATGATGGTGGAATCATGGATAGGTTTGCAGTCGTTTGTGAAGAAGGGAGTACAGCAGGAGGCTCAGCACACATTCCGGAGGTGCTCCAGTGCTTAGTGTTATGACAGTGGAGGAGTGCTTACCCCAACACATAGTTTGTGGTCTGGTAGTGAGAAAGTCCAGAATCCAATTACAGAGGTATGTGTCGAGGCCCAGGATGATCAATTTTGTAGCCAACTTATTTGTGGTGATGGTGTTGATGGAGGAGCTGTAGTCAATGAACAGCATCCGTTCGTAATTGTCTCTTTGTTCCAGATGCAACAGGACAGTGTGATGGACCAGTGAGACAGCATCCTCAGTTGTCATGTTTGCCCTATAAGCGAACTAAAACTGTTCAAGAGGCATGGGAATTTTTTAAAAGCACATTATTGCAAGTGCAAGAGGACTTCATACCTGTTTCCAGCAAGAATAAATCTAGGAAATTGCAACCTAGGTGGTTTACTAGGGGAATAAAGTATAAAGTAAGGAGGAAAAGGGCTTTGTTCCAGAAATGGAAAATAACTGATGATAGAACTGACAGAATAAAGCAAGAGTATCTAAATCTACAGGCTGAGTTAAAAAATGACATTAGACG